GGCTCCGCCCCTTGTTGGTGCCTCGCGAGGCTCTGATTGGCTCTCGCCAGAAGCTCCGCCCCCATGCGGACGCGGGGTCCGTGAGGGGGCGGGGGCAGCTCAGGCTCAGGGTTGGTGCGGGCGGCTGTGGGTGCGGGTTTAATCGTAAATACACCCACACACAGCCGCAGAGGTGCATGTACACGTGTGTGTGGGAGTACAGGTACTCCCTGTACAGCTGTATAACCCTGTACATACACTTCACTCTGGTACACATATACATACATACATATATATATACACACCCCTATACATATATGCAATTATATATGTACGCAACATGGGGTATACAGACCAACAGGCAGGTGTATGTATAAGGCTGTAAATTGTATATAACGACATATATATGTATATATACATATATAGTTATGCATTTGAGAGAGGAGAGTGGCGGTATCAATAAATAAATGAACTGGGGTTTGAATGGATTACATATACAAGTATGCATATGTAGAACAGAGTATGTTACGGGTAGGTTGTGCCCCCTGGCCCGGAATGTTCGACACTCGTATGAGATGTGCAGGCACAGCTCCCGGTGCCGCTCCCCGGGCGTCCCCCTGCCCTCGCACGGCGCCATTTGCGAGCCTGCCCCTCACGGGACCGGCCGCAGCGGGAGTGACTCAGCTGCTGGGCTGGGTGGCGTCCAGGCAGTGTTTGGCAGAGATAAGACCCCCCTCAACATCCTCCCTTTATTCCGGGCTTTTTGTTTGCTTTTGTCCTGACACGCAAAACAAAAACTCCTCCGGGGACTGCAGCGGCGAGGCAAGTGTAGGAGGGAGAGCGGTGATGACAGAGGAGAGGTGTGCCAAAGTAAGTGACTAAGTCAGTCCCCAGGGCTCCTGAATGGAAAATACGGGATGGGAGCTGTGCCCATGTGCATTTGCTGGGACCCACCCATAAACTCTGCAAGAAGCTTGCAGGAGTTTCTACCTTTGCTTCCTACATCTTCCCGAGAGTTTCTCACCTGTACAGTTAACTAGGTGTCCACACATAAATGGTATGTGGGCAGTCACGCCTCCGAATTTTCTCCAACCACGCTGGATGAGCTGTAACTCTTGAGACCATGTGGTTGTCATCTGTTCTGTTTAGTTCTGACACCCTGTGCCTTTAGTGATGGTACTTACTATGGTGCACCTCTGCACAAACAATTTTGCTATGTCCACTTTCAATTTGGGGGAGTATTTTGTATCTTGTCTCCAGGCAAGGAAGAAGCTTTAGTGGGACATGAGACCTTTATGAGCATGACCTTCATTTATCCTGAGATCTTGGATGCTTATTACCTGCTTTCTAATTGCTTTATCCAGTTTAAAGTATCTCCCTACAGTCAGATTCTTTACTTGACAAGCAGTTTCCTTATGTAAGACATGTCAAGTGCTTGATGCATTTCTTTTGTTACAAAGTTCGAAACATACTTGCTGGAGTCACCTGTACAATCCTGCAAGAGTAAATTTACATCATTAACAATTAGTAGTACTGCTGTCATTTATGAAGGTAAATTTTAAAATTATTCTTCTGATATTGACCTTGTTAGGAATTAAAGGTTTATTAATATATCTGTGAAGCTCTAAAGGTAGCTGGATGGGAATATTTAAGGGGGAAAATAAATCATATAAGGTCATCTTAGCAGAAGACACAACTAGAATAATAAAATTAGGAAATGAGGTACAGGAAAAACAATTTTTTATCTTGAATTTGCATGCATATATTGTGCAGGTCTTCTAGCAAAACTGCCTGAATTTTTACCTTGGAACACTGGAATGATAAAGCTCTTTTTATCTCAAACTGGGTCTGTTGTGCCTTGCCTTGGAATATTATCAGTGTTACGCAAGCTGCTAATAACATTTAGTGTTTTACAGCAGCTTCTTTCTAAGTGAATCTGCATGGGGAGTGATTACATGCTGCACTGTAGTATTCTGACATTTGCATTTATAGCCATTTCTGAAAATGAAGCCTCAAAACATCCCTATCAATTGTTTCCAAGGTCTCTCTCTTTAATATTTCCATGTCAGCTATGGCCTGTATTAATTCCTCTACTGACCATCAAAGCTGTTAGAGAATTTCTTGGGAAAAGCAAATGTAGCTCAGATCTTTGGGTGCAGCTTGCAACTACAGGTCTCTGTGAACAAAAGCAGATCCACCAAGAAGCCTTTTTTTTGCCTCTGAAAAAGTGTGACTTTTCAAAGTGACTGCCACAAAAGGACTGGGATTGCCTGTGGGGATGTGGTCAACATGCAGTGGCAGGGCAGCATCTGCACTGCTTTTACAGTGGGGGACAGAGCCTGCCTGGCCTGGTGTAAGGCCTAATGGAGCCAAGTCAGCCCACCAAAATCTGGTAGCAAATTTGAGGTGGCGGACAGAGAAGGTTCAAGCAGAGTCTGCACCACACATCATGCTGCCACAAAGCTGCTCATCTGCTGTGACCAGAGCAACTGGAATGCTGTTACCAGATTTATTGTGTCATCAGAGTGCAAGAAGTACTTTGAGATGGAAATACTTTTGAGTTCTTTTGTACATATAAAAATAAACCCAAGTTATATCAGGTGATCAAAGCAGCTGTTAGAGCTGGTTTACCCAAAGCATGACCCACTGAAGCCATTTTCACTGTTCCCTGCAGGTGGAGCAGTATGTTGGTGAGATTAAAGGTGGCCTGAGACCAACCATGAAGCTCACAGTCATAGGCATGGTACACTCCAAACCCAAGAGGTAGGTGAAGGGACTGCTGGGGGCTTCACCCTGATACACATGCTCCTCCTACCTGTCTTCTAAATTCAGACACTTTCTTGGAGGTATGTGCTCTTTGAAAGAAGAGAATCAAACAAATTAACAATTTATGGCCTTATTTAACTTTCCTGCATTCAGACTAAGATTACAAGGTCAGGGAGGAGTTCACTGTTTGGCCTTTCTGACTGCCCTGACAAGATTTTCTACTCCTTCCCCTTGTCTAATGTGAACTGGAGGGAACACAAAAGTTGCATTTCTCCTTCAGAAAGAGAATTCTCAACCTGAATCTTGGTTGTCTGTGGGGGGTTGGAATCAACACCATTTAAAAATCAGTGTAGGCACAGGAGGTGGAGGTTCATTGCTGTCTTTTATCTGGATAACAGCAACTCTGCTCATCATTACACTGTTTTTGCATCTACAGCTATCAGCTCCACTGCTTCCACTGGTGAAGAGTATGCCATAACCTCTTTTAGGACATAAATGAGTACATGTTGAAGGGTTTGACTTCAGTCAAGACAGAGGGAAAGCAACATCAGAAATCACTAGCATTCTACTGGACACTGGGGCAGGAAAAAAACACCAGCCGGGTCTCATGCCTTTCTCCAGCTTCTAAGCTTGTAGAAGTGCTGTGTTTCAGTCTGACATGGAAACAACAGCTGTCTCTAGTCTCTATAAGCATCTGCCATGTTCACTATGTCCTTTCATATTTCTGAAAGTTCCAGTCATTTAATAGATCTTTTTTCAGCTTTTCAGTGACCCTGCTCTGTGATCCAGTGGATGCCAACAAAGATGTTGGGCTGTTATTCACAGTTAACTTCAGTGAGAAATCCATCACTCGAAATGCACGAATTGCTGGGAAATGGGGAAGAGAAGAGAAGACTATTCCCTACTTTCCATTTACAGCAGGCGACACATTCAAGGTAATTTTTCAGGTACTATGAATAGGTAGAGAAAAGGAGGGGAGAAAAGCTGAAGGCTGTGTATATGGCCACAAACAGCCAGCCACTGAGGTTGGCAGGTTAACTAGTCTAGTGTGGCACAGACGGCAACAGTTCAAGCCCTGATGGGAAAGAGGCATCCCTTTCTCTAGTCGCAGTTGGAGTACCCACTGGAGCTCTGCAGTATCCTCTCAGGAGAGGGTAGGTTATTTATCAGGGGCATTTCAGAAGAACTGGTAGACTTTGTGCTTTGCTATCCATAACATTTAGTTCTAAGTCCATGCTGTTGAAATCAGCCCTGCTGCTGATCTCTAACACCCTTCCCTGTCCTTTCCCACTGCAGATGGAACTCTTATGTGAACACCAGCAAATACGAGTCTTGCTGGATGGACGGCAGCTCTGCGACTTCACTCACCGCGTTCAGCCTCTCAACTTGGTGAAAGCTTTGCGGATCTCAGGGGACATCAAGCTTACCAAAGTGGCTTGAAAAAAGGAGACCAGGATATCACCAGAGGACAGAGGAAGATGTACTTTCTCTTGCCTCAGACATGTTTTGTCTTTTTCCCCTGACTGATTCTGGGGAGTGGGAACTGTATCTTTTTAATTCGCTGATGTGTTTGAGATACACACTTTCCCCCCCCCATACATACTCACAGCAATTGCAGAGCTATGGCCGGTCTGAATAAATCTCAAAGCCTTTGCTGAGAAACACTTCTGGCTGAAACACTCCCAAACTGCAAGATTTATTATGTTATGCAGTATCTCACATCCTTATGGCTCCTTACTCCCTCAGGCATGCCAGGAGGCAGAGCTCAGTCCTCTGTGGTTGGGTGGCTGTTGTGACTAGAACTGGGCATTATGTAGGTGGTGGGTCTGAGAAAAGAGGAGATTTTCTTATAAATGAATTAGGGAGTCTGATGGGCCCCAGCAAGGCTCACATTATCAGGAGGGAATTGCTTTTCTTGGAAGCTCTGCTCAGTCAGCAAAAAAATCTGTGCCTTCCAGCAGAGAGCAATAAATGCCTTACCCTGTCTCTTCCAGGCAGCTTTTCCAGAATTGAAAGGTTTTGACAGCTGTGGATTTCAGAGTCTTCTCTGGATCAGCCCTAGGAAATGGTGTCTGCAGCTGAAACTGCACTGCCCATTCTTGTTCTTGCATATGATTAAAGCTGCACCTTTGCTGGCAAACTTCTTTATGAGCTCTCTTAAGTATTTGAATGCATGCAGTGTTATTTCATTGCTGTGACTTTTGAGGAAAATCCTAAATGCATGGCTATTCTAATAAATAAAAAGCATGTATCATATTCTGCCTTTGGTGATGAAGGGACTTCTTTTTAGTACAGAACTCAGAGAACAAAACAGCTGTACAGAAACGAATCTGTGGATAGAGGATTATCAAATTCCTCTATGACTTCAGGGAAAATATTGAGCATGCTGCCTTTCTGAATGCTCTGCAAAATCTGGCTGTCAGATACAGGTGCTCAGAAAAAACAAGAAACTTTATGGAAATAGTGTATCAGCAGGCTGATTGGGTGTTTGAAGAATTTCCTACATTCCACTTTACCTTCTAGTGTCTCAGTTTATATATAAATCTAAAATTATAGTGTATTAAACCATTATTTTTCATATACTCAAACTGACCTCTGAGAAAAAGCACAGGATATTCAAATGCATGGGGGTCTTTTGTTTGTTTGTCTTTTTAATATTTAATTATACCAAAGACAAGTTTAGTAGACAAATAATGGAAAAATAATGACTTAAGATAGAAAAAGCAAAAGTGAGGACTGCTACTATAATTCTCTGTCCAAATGGTGCTCCAACATAAATGGACTTATGGTAATTATCAGAAGGATAATTGCTTTTATGGATGAGGAATTTCTTCCAATATATTCAGCACCAGAAATTGTCTGGAACTTCCACTGATCTGCTTTGATACTCAGGATCCTATTCTGATGTGGGACATTGCCAGCATAAGAGTAATCTATATGGGTGAGGAGCAAGATTTTTGTTCTTTTCCAGTCTAACAGAGAACTAAATAGTAGAGCAGATGGATGGACAGACAGACAGACCCCTTGTTTGTTTTGCAATGCATATTATCCTGGCAGCTGGGCTGAGACTTAGCACAAGATTCGTGTGGTATGCCGAGAAAGGCAGCCTCAGCCACCAGCACCTTCCATGACTTAGATATTTCAGTCTTAACTAAGTTTATGAGCCCCTTTATAAAGGGGGAAGGAGCAAGACAATTCTGCTTTAAGATAAAGCACTACCTGGATCTGTCAGACGTAGACTGAATACTTGCACAAAAGATCCTTTTCTTCCATCTTGGAATATCTTGACGTTTCTTCGTAAAGCCCCATTTGTCTGTGTCCACCTGTTTTGGTCTCTTGCTTAGATGGTAAATTCAAGGGGAGGAAATTCTGGATCTACATGATTTGGTCTGCATGGTCTCCTAGGACCTGGTAGGTGTTATGGTGATTCAAATAATGAACATTGACTATCAAGGGAAAAACAACACTCCTGGACAACATGAGCAGGAAGTTGGTCATAAATGTGGTTTGTCATTTGGCATGGAGTCCACATTGCTCATGTCAGCGGCTTGATTGCCTCAATCCACTGCACTCGCTCTGCCTTGGAGCTGGCCTGGATGTAGTAATGAATGTCATTTTTGGTGATGATTTTGAAAAGGTTGCCTTGCACATTGCCCTTCACTCCTGCAGAGAAAAAAAACCCCAACATGTCAGGAGGGTGCACAGAGAAAATCTTTCTGGCAGATATGAAGCTTCATAAGAATTTGAATTTCATAAATTAGGGAATCAATTCTTTCCTTTTTATTATGGATAAGACATCCAAAGCTTTTGTGTCTTTGATGTCCCTCTTCAAAACCCCTGGAAGTGTTCAAGGGGTTGGATAGGGCTTTGTGGACTACCCAGCAGTACAGGGACTTGTGACATGCCTCTTCCTTTGCTTGCAAAGGGAAATGGAAAGTCAGCCCACCTGTGCATACAAGCAGCCATATATACAAACCCATACCCAAAGAATGTGTTGCTACAGCATACATATAAATGTGTGACAGTTCAGAGGCTTGTGCTCACCTGCTGGGACTCCATTGTCCTCCAGAGCTGAGACAAGACAGCCACGAAGAGAGAATCCACCTACTGGCTTGTTATCTTCCTGCAAAGAGAAAGGAAACAAGGCCTAGCTGGAAAACATCATAATTTCCCAGAGCACATGCATCACTTTTATGAAGTTGGAGACATAATAGCGGTTTTTCTAGGCACAAGACACCTATGTCACAAGAGAAATCAATTAGAACATGTAGTTAAAGGCATTACTATATTTTTTCAGTCCCAGATGTTTCTCTAATGTAGCTGGCCATGGTGTACATCCATTAAAAGCAAAAATGTAGGCAATCACACTTCAAATGTACGTATGGTTTTATCAATAACAACATGCTGAATTATATATATTTCTGTAAGTATTTAGCTTGCTGCTTTGCACTGAGACTGTATGGGGAAAATCTGGTTCTTTTCCCTAGTTGGCTGGCACTCTTGTTTCTTGCCTGCAGGTTCTGCAGTTTTAGCTTATAGCCTTACAAGGACAATTTGCAGTGAAAAAAATCCCCCAAACCCATGTAGGAACAGGAAACAAAAAATGAACTGGCTCCATAAACTCTTTTCACTGATATGTCATTTCTATTAGCTTTAAAAGTCACATAAAGCATTTCTATACATGTTCTTCTTGCAATCCTGTTTGGCTTTGTGGTACCCTAAGTATCTGAGTTGCTCACATTGATTATTATATTAATGAACATAAATTCTACTTTTCATGAGAAAGTTTAAAACTGAGTAGTAGAAATTTTATACATGCTTTGGCATTAAGAAGACCCTATTCAGTGCTGGAATAAGGTTGTAAAAAATATCAGAACCAGTATGATCCTCAAACAGTAGGATTTCAGCCCAGAAAGATCACAACCCAGGAAGAAAGCCTGCAGGACCATGGTCCCAGAGTGCGAGGGTGCAGCAAGAGAGCAATCCCAAGAACAGGAAGCTGCTGCCCAGCTAAGGAAAAGGAATCTCACTGGGAAAAAGGACAGAAAATGCAGGGCTGCAAAATCCTACAAGGACAGCCTCGTAGGGTGAGGCCAGAGAAATCTAATTCCTGGAAACGGATCGAGGAACCCAGAGTGACAGAAACATTTACAGTGTAACTGTGTCTTCACTAAAATGTTTCTAAAAGGATTTCTGGGGATGGTAACTTCCCACTCACGTACCTTGGTGGGATCATAGTAGTGCAAGAAAGCAGGATCAGCTCTCAAAACAAATTTTCTCACCTTCCAGTTTTTCCTCTTGTGCCCCTGCAAAATGGAAGAATTAAAATTACTACCTTGTGAAATGACCATTTTCCTACAAACTGAAGGGGAGACATAAATACCAAAACAAGAGGGTTTGGACCCAACGGAGAAAAATATTTTCTAACATCTTGGTAATTCCCATGACCTTCTGCTTATCTTTCTTCTTCATATATTGACAATTCCTTCATCTCTTCCTTCCCTGTGCTGAGAACTAAGAAAGCAGAGTGACAGGAAAAAATGGTTATATCCCTCATTCCTGCTTTTCATTTCCTATTAAATATGGGTTTCAGATTAAGATCCCATGATGTGTGACACAAAGGGGTTATGTCAGGTCCTTTTGCAGCTCTTTACTCTTTCACCACAGCCCTGTCACTGCTGCCAGGCCTGTGCCAGGCCCTGGGAGCATCCCCTTTCCTGGAGGTTTGGTGCTGGGATCTGGGCCAGCCCGGGGCTGGGGCTGCTGGGGGCTGTCCCTGGCTGCTGCTGCCCATGGGCAGGGGCTCCTGGGCAGCTCTCGTGTCCTGTGCTGCTGGAGACTGCCCTGGCAGCCTGTGGGGATCCTGCAGCACCCTGCCAACCCTCATGGAGCCCTGGCAGCTGAAGGAGGGAGAGTTGACTTGGGAAGCAGTTGGTCATCCAGTTTGCACAACGTTAAGGGTGGGGCTCTGGGTACAAGGCTTCAGAGTAAGAGTGGGGCCATGCAGTGCAGGTAGGATTCCTTCTGCAAGTGGCTGTGTTATGCTTTGAAAGAGTGATTTACCCTCATCTTGTTCACAGCAAGTGTTGGAAACTACATTTTGCAGACCAAGGGTCAGATCTTGGAAACAGTTATTACCAGCAGATACTTGTGCCCAAAAACATATTTCACCACCACCAAAGCACCCATGTGTACATGATGATTGCCCACAGGCAAAAGTCCACTTCATACAAAGGTCAAGCTACTCAGCTTTGAAATTTGTCTGTGGCCAGCAACACATCCACACTGTTGACACCACCTGGATGAGATAGGTTAAACCAAAGCACTGGTGGCTCTGCTTGGAAGTGGATGTAACACCTCTGGTAGGATTTGGAGTTTGTGTGGTACTTCTGGTTTTGATGCTGTTTTGTACCTTTCAGTATATGGTCAATATGTACAGAATATCCAATTAATCCTGCCTGAGCAAGTTCCATAGCTCACTCCTTTATAACTGGATACTCTTAACTGCAAGAGCTCAAGTACTGACAGGCAAGTTAGTTCTGCTGGGCACATCTGTCCAGCCATCATTGTACAAGTCACATTTACTCTCTAAGAAACCCTAAGAGCTCTACTGTTCCTTGTGTTCTGGGGCAGGTTCCAAGACTATGCTTACCTGTTTCACTAA